GTGCACAAGGTTCAGGGTTCAAGTCCAGCTTTGTGAAATGTTTTTTTCAAAATTATAAAATTATTCTAATTTTATCTGAATATTACCTTAACATAACGTTAATATTCCTATATAATATTACCATGTCATATTCTCTTAATATAACAACGTAATATTACCTCCAGGCGGACATTTTGATATCTCAGTAAGATCACTGTAATATTACAGTGTAATATGACGAATCTCCAATGTAATATTACAGTGATGTCAAGATAAGCTTACGTGCTGCTTGGGCAAGATCATTAACACCACTAAGGTCACCCTTACTATCAATATCACCAACATTTCTACAATTGACACTATCACCATCATTTCAAACACCGTCACCACCACAAGGTAAACAGAAATTACACGGAAAGGGATTTTGCGAAGAGCAAGAAAAGAAAATATATAAAAAAATTATATTGGAAAAGGTAAGAGCAATTTTTTACCAGTTTTTTGCATTTATTCAACTTTTAAACAGATTTGTTTAAAAATATTTATTGTTCTAACAGAATAATACATCAAGAAAAAGAGGAAGAAATGAGATAGAAGATGACGTTGATAAGAAACAAATCTCACTGCAAATACCACCAACAGTACAACAATTATCACCAACACTAACACAACAATTACCACCAACACTAACACTACAATTACTACCACCACCACCACCAATAGCAGCACAATGTCAAAAGGATATAAGAGAAAATCAAGAAAATAAAATTCATGAGAAGCTTATAGTGGAAAAGGTAAGAGCAATTTTTTAACAGTTCTTTGCATTTATTAAACTTTTAAAAAGATTAGTCTAAAAAATTTTTTGTATTGTTCTAACAGAATAAAATACCAAGAAAAGAAACAAAAGTTGAGGTTGCTGGAAAGCCAATCTCACTAATAGGAAATTATAATATCAACAAAAAATCAACAAATCTAAGTGGTAAAATGCAATCAAAATTCTTAGAATTTTTACCATTAACACCATTAAATGGAAAAAGACGAAGACAGTGCAAGCCGAAACAAACACAAAATCTACAAATGAAACAAAATCTGGAGCCAACAAAACGAAAACCAATATTAACAAAATTTCAGAAAGAAATGAGAAAAGTACGCAATACACCCAGTGACGTAACTAGGCCCGACGAGGCCCCCCTGCAAAATTCCCTCGAGGCCCTCTTAGTGACGGCTGAATTCTATGAAATTAGATGTATGCGTAAAATCAAGCATCAAACAGAAAAATAAAAATGCAAGAAATGTAGGCTTATCACCATATCTCTCGCTCTCATAATTTTCTGCTTTATGCTTTCTGCAGTATGTCTCAAAGTGTTTACACCTATACGAATTTGTGATTGTAACAAAGAAAAAAACCAATATTATTTATTTAATACTTTTAATAAATAATTATTGTTAATTTAATAATAAATCTCATTACATGAACTACATTTTGAAAATATAAATTAGACCTTTTTATGACAGATAAAACATTGTTAGATTGCAACACGTCTTACTTTTAGTTTGGCAAATTTATTAATCACAACATCAATATTTATTTTTTTTGCTTCCTCTCTTTCTATTGCTAATAGTGAAAGATTTTTCAATCGATTTTGACTAATTTTATTTCGTAAATGATCTTTTATAATATTATTCAACTTGCTGAAATTTCTTTCGCACGAAGTCAGAACATTAGAATAAAATAAATGCCTCTCACGCAAGCTCTCACGACAATGCACGACAAGAATCACTGTTTACATGCACGGAGAGAAATCTGTTGCGAATAATGCATAGAGTAGAGGTTATGAATATAGCATAAGCACTTACTAGCGAAAAGTATAAGAGGTCCGCCTGAATATCAGTCGGCTCCGCCTAATATTCAGGCGAACTCGAGCAATAAATAAGCTCTCTGTTAGGATTTTAGCATCAAAGAATCGATGGAAAAAGTATATGAAAAGTTTCGAGCATTAATCCTATTAACAGATTTCTCTCCGTGTGTCACATTAGGTTATGATAAACAGGGTTGTGAATCAATGTTCTATCACAAAGAAAATGGACAGGGTTGGAAACAAACGATACGTCGATACGCTTTTCCCTATTACGCGCGAATTTCAAGGCTTGAAAATGCGACATTTACCTCGATTTTGTTTCAAATAAATTTAATTCAATCAATATTTTGATGATTCTTAAAGCCTTTAATTAATTTTTTTTGGAGAAACAATTAACGACACAAAAGTACATAGTAAATTCTAATTAAAAGTATGAATAATAATAAAAAAAATTTTAACAAATTTTAACATAGTATAATTATATTTATTTGGTCTAAAAAAATTTTTTTTTTGCAAGCCAAGGCCCGAGGCCCCTTTTAGGCCGAGGCCCCCCCGCAATGCGGGGTTTCGCTGTACGGTAGTTACGTCACTGAATACACCAGTACAAAAACAAAATTTTCCAACACAAAAAAATGATAAGGATATGGAAAACATATCAACTGAAGGAATTCACACAGCATTAAGGCAAATAAATTGTTCGTTAGATTTGTCCATGCCATCTTTATCTATAATTCCTTTAGACGAACAATTGTGCTTATCATCGTCATCTGACGAAAATGATGATTGATGTAAAAAAAGAATTAGTTTTATTTCTTTTACCAATTTTTAACTTTTTTTTATGATTTCTTTTGAGAAAAATTGTGCTTATCATCGTCATCTGACGAAAATGATGATTGATGTAAAAAAAGAATTGGTTTTATTTCTTTTACCAATTTTTAAACTTTTTTTATGATTTCCTTTGAGAACAATTGTGCTTATCATCGTCATCTGACAAAAATGATGTTTGATGTAAAAAAAGAATTGGTTTTATTTCTCTTTACCAATTTTTTACCTTTTTTTAATGATTCCTTTAGACGAACAATTGTGTTTATCATCAGCATCTAACAAAAATTGTAACTCATGTAAAAAAATTTGGTTTCATTCCTTTTTTAACCAATTTTTAATCTTTTTTTGTAATTTTTTTTTTTTGAGAACAATTGTGTTTATCATCGTCATCTGACGAAAATGATGATTGATGGAAAAGAAAATGGTTTTATTTCTTTTTACCAATTCTTTGGGTTTATCATCATCTGGTAAAAATGACGAATGATGTAAAATAAAATTTTTTTATTTCTCTTTACTTCTTTTCAACTTTTGTTTATTAACATTTAAATTTTTTAAGAAACATATGTTTTCTATTTTGAACTTCATAGTTTTCTTTATATATTATTATTTTCTCAGTTTTTATTTTTTTTTATTTTCTCTGATTTTTCTATTTTTGATACGTTGATTCTTTTGTTCCTTAAAACTATATAAATGTAAATTTATTAAAAAATTTATTTTGTATAACGTTTGTAAATAAAAATATTTTGTAATAATAATAAAGAAGTGTTTATTATTTATAAAATTTACATAAACATGATAAAGGTAAAACATTAAAAAAAGATAAAATTACAATACATATTTTTTTTTATTAAAGTAGAAAGATGTGAAACAGAATTTATTTTCAAATATTCACATAAAACTTTCAATTTTATGCATTAATATTGAATTCAATATTATTATAAACTCCTCCGAGGTAAACCATTTGCAAGAGTCAGCTCAGACAGCGGTTTCGTCGGCAGAAATTTCTCCATTCGTCCAACAACGTTAATTTTCTGTAGATCCATGGTGATTTCAGGTTCCTGGTGATGTCCTCGGAGATGATTTTCGTCCAACTTGGAGAAGGTTGAATGGTTTTGCCTCAGAATTGACCCTCTTTTGTACCAAAAAATCATCCCCACTCTACTCTAAATGTGCAAAAACAGTTGCGCAAATGTAAAAAATATCCCCACCTTAAATGCGCAAAAACAGTTGCGCAGTTGGAAAAAAATTGCTCAATTCAATATATACATTTTTTTTCTTAATAAATACCAAAAATTATTGAAAAATTCAAATTTTTAAGATTTTTATAAAGTGGGAATTCCCCACAGACGGTCGAGCGTCAGAGAGAAAAGGAGTTCCCGCAGAGACTCAACTCAACACAAGAGTACTGTTCACGTTGCGCGTGCGTTAGCTACCTCTCTGAAACGTGTCAAGTACTTCCAAAAGCTTAATTTGAAATTAAAAATTATTAAAAATTATTTTTTTAAAATAAAATTTATAGTTCATTACTAGTTCGGAAAAAAAATTTATATTTAAATTATTTATTTTTTTATATTTAAAAATTAGTAAATTTAATAATTATTTTATAAACTATTGTTTATTAATAAAAATAGGGTAGGATATGGAAATAATTAAACAAATTAATTAAATTTATAAAATATATTTTATTTTTTAAAAAAGATTAGCATTTTCATAAAAATCTTTCAGTGTTTCAGTAGAATTTACAGTAAAACATCCATTTCTTGAATCAACTTCATCTCGATTTCTTATAAAGAATTCATTCTCAGATTTTAAAATTCAATTTCTTAACATTATAACATTATTTGCTGCACACCATTTTTTATACAGAGTATGATAAGTACATATATGCGATGACGTCTCAAACTTAAGCTTTTTAATTAAAGGACAATTAAAATCTTCAAGGTTTTGTATATTTACTACATATTTTTCAACTTACCTTTGTTTTTCAAACCCCTTCACATAGATTTTACGTGCGCCTGCTAGTACCTCCTGGAGAATTGATCGTATTTCTTCGTAAGGTACGTCACCAGCAGTCCATTTAAGGCCATGGTAGTTATGCATTAACCATAAATTTTCACTCTTATATCGCCCAGGCAGAGAACACCAGCTGCAGGGTGGCTCGAACAGGTATACCATAGGCTGTGCATCTTTCTCGAGAGGTATAATGGCCAGCTCCTTGAAGATGAAATCGTTGTATGGTCTTTTGAAGCCTTGGATGTCCACGATGAAGTCCATGGTTGCAGAAACTGAGGATTTTCGTCTAAATTCTGCCTTTTTATACCCTGAGATTACCCCCACTTCTTAAGTTACTTTTTTAACAAGACCGCTGATTGGCTTATACTGTATAATACGATCGTGAATAATTAAGCAATATGCCGCTGTATTGGCGGAAAAATTATTACTAGATTCAAATTCTAGTCGCACATCTACAGAAACTTGTTTAAGAAATTCATTTTGCTTTAAGCAATCTATAACAGCCAATGGTGCATAATCTTTAAAGTTATTTCTGGAAAGTTCAGAATCTTTTCCATAGTATGATGATTGAAAATTACAATACATGTCATAGAAAATAGAAAATTTGTTCTGATTAAAATTTAAATTTAAATTACCATAAGGATAGTATTGTGAATTTAAAAATAGTTTAACATTTATCAGATTACAGTTATCAAAAAAGTTGGAATATCTTGTTGGATTATCTTTTCGATTAGATTGGAAACCAAGAATAACATAACGAGGTTTTTCAACTTGTGTAGAAGTCTTTACAGTCCAAACATGTTTTTGAGTTGCTGGTATTAGTGGATATTCATACATGTCCCAAGATCTAAAACTTATACTTATAAGCGGATCTTTTTCAATAAATTTTAATAAATCAATTTTTTGACGATCACCAACAAATAAGTATGGTATCATCCATTCAACTTTATTAATTACAATTTTAAATTTTTCACGTTCAACTCCATTAATATTAACCACAGCATTAAGGTCTGTACGGGATCCTGTTAAAATTAGTTCATGTTTTGCATTTACAACTATTTTTCTGTAGTCTTCTACAAATCCAAGAATCATACTCAGTGGTATATTCACATCAAAATAACCTGCATCATTTGTCACTCTACTGGCATCATTAAAATTAATATAACCCGCATTCTCAGCGTAAATAATCTGACTAGGTGTTTCAGAAATGTAACTCTTTATGGTGGTTGTAAGACCAACGTTTTTACATCGATCAATTTCAACACCATTAAGTTCATAACGAATCTCATTAAACAGATAGGAAATAGCATTACTAATAAGTTTTGTATTTGTCGCAACAGTATCATTAGTTTTTGTTAGTTTTCCATGCACATGTAATGTACTTTTGCTAGAAAGAATATATAAATCTTGATGTTGAACAGCAATTCGAATTTCATCACTATCATTAAATGCTGATGAAACATAAGGTTGATGAGAATGAATCTCATAATGTGCTAATGAATCATCATATTTAACTTGACTTAAAATATTTAAAGTCTGGTCCATTTTTATTGCAACAGCAACAAATAAACAGAACACGAATTAATGATTTTTCTTTTTTTCTTGACGAACTCGTAGACCCAGAAAGAGTTTGTTCTGAGGTGTTAAGCTCTTGCGAACTGACTGTAGACTGAATGTTTTCTGACATGTTGACTGGTTTATATAACTTCCACCAGATTTTCTGTGGAACACAATGCCCATTATGTTGATTTAACGTGCAGACGAATTGTTATTGTCTCCCCTCGGAAATTTACTAAATCTCCGTCTTGATCAACAATCCGCAGCTGAATATTATGTATTGTCTTCACGGCAACTGGAAGATAAATGACGTGTGAAGGTACTTCCACGATTTTATATTTACCTAGAACTATTGGAAAAAACTCGTAAATAGTGTGAACCTTTTTATTATTAATGTATGCACTAGTTGTAATACTACATTCAACTCGAATAGAATTCACTTTGAAGATAGATACTGGTAAATCAGAGGTATGCGTTTTATTATGTGATAGTAGTCGTGGTGCAAACCCCAATAATTCTCCAATAGAATCTTTTTGTTTAAAGTTTACTTTAAGACTGCTTCGTATTTCACTGCGTAAAGTATTATTAGGAATTGAATTAAATGTTAAAAGCTCTACAAGTCCAAGAATATAGTTTTTATTATGTAACAATTCTATTAGAGGAAAATATTCAGCCTCTAAGACAGATGAATTACCAGATATAGTTAAAGTAAGTGACTCATCCATGATGATGTCTTTTTTAATACTGATTAAAGTTATCAGTTTACAATTATTTATATAGACTATATCTTTCTGTCCTTTTAAGCTGTTTACACAAAAATTTTAGACATAAATGACCACAATGAAAAGTGTCATAATCCTGATAATTTTCATAGTTATACTTTATTACAGTATTTTTATCAAAATAGTTGACAAGTTAATAATTTAATAATGGTGATTAAAGATTTCCAAAGCTGTCAAAGTACATTGCATTGTTTTTATCCTTTTTATATGCAACCCAGTGAGTTCCTGGCCCATATCTATCATCAAGGTTAATAATAGCTGATTCATTTTTTATTAGGTCCTCGTTTTGGCAATGTATTTCGCATGTAAACTCCTCGAAAATAAGGAATTTTTAATTCTTTAGCGTACTTTAACAAATCAACATCAGTTAATGCTCGTTGTGGTAGTCTCACAATCTTTTTTTTTTCTACAACACTTTCTTTTAATATCATTATCTTTAATATATGGTTTCAAATGAAGTCCTAATCCTTGTCGGTAGGGTTTTAAATGAAGACCTTTACCAAGTGCAACTGCTTCTATCGTTCTATTGTGACGTTGAGTTTCTTTTAACTGCTCTTTTGCTGTACTTGCATCATTAACTGCCTTTGCTACACCAGCGGCTCCCCCAGTAAGTGCTCCAAGCGCACTTAGCCCAGCAAAAATTGGAATTAATGGTAACAGACCACCAACTTTTGATGGTACTGGTAGAATACGAGGTGTTAAAATTTTATTTCTACCTCCCACGCTTTTAACAGCTTTTCTAGCATTTTTAATAGCAGTCTTGATTGTAGATTTAACATCCTTTCCAGGAACTATAGATTTTTTAGCAGCATCAACAATTCTTCTTAAGGCTATTCTCTTCTTGGAATTTGCCTTCCTCCTCTTCTTCTTCTTCTTTCTTCTGAGTCCCATACCTAATTTTTATTTTGCTTTCATTGTGTTGGTTATTGCGTAAGCTGCAGCTCTCTCACTGTAACCTGCGTCTGGAGCAAATACACGTTGCCAAGCTTTATCAGCTAGTACCCTATCAGCAGCGTTTCTTGTTTCAACGTCTGCTCGATTTTTCGAGTATGCAATATCGTGTTCTTTACAAGCTGCGTCTAAAGGATTGACACCTGGATCACCTCGAGCAAAACGTTTTGCTAACCTTGTGCCTGGTCCACAATATTAATAACCTGGCAAATGTAACTCAAATGGTAACTTGTTTATAAGACTATTCAATAGACCTTTACCTCGAGATCTTTTTCGATGTATAACACAGGCCTGCAAATTTTGGCTTAGTTCTGTTACAGAAAAAGTGGTAGGTGATTCTTATAGCTTTTTTGACGTAGAATACGAATCCGATTTCCAAAATCGCCCATCACGTCAGGATTTCTTGTAATATTGCCTTAAATAGCCAAAAAATGGCTATTTTGGACACTTTTCGGAATTTTTTTTGGTTAACTAAAATTTTTTTGTTCAATTTGCAAAAATGCATCGTATAGTACTATATCTAAGCTTTAAAACCCATTTTTCAAAATTGCTTTACGATTTTTTAAAAAAAAGTTATGTAGATTTGAAAATAAATGCCATTTTGAACTTCTTTATACCTACATTTTCCTAAATAAAAAAATTTCAAATCTGCATAACTTTTTTTTAAAAAATCGTAAAGCAATTTTGAAAAATGGGTTTTAAAGCTTAGATATAGTACTATACGATGCAATTTTGCAAATTTAACAAAAAAATTTTGGTTAACCAAAAAAAATCCCGAAAAGTGTCCAAAATAGCCATTTTTTGGCTATTTAAGGCAATATTACAAGAAATCCTGACGTGATGGGCCATTTTGGAAATCGGATTCGTATTCTACGTCAAAAAAGCTATAAGAATCACCTACCACTTTTTCTGTAACAGAACTAAGCCAAAATTTGCAGGCCTGTGTAATCATACCTTACTCGGTGAAAGATAAGATTAGAATGACTCAAAGCATATAAAAGAACTGTATTTATACCATTCGTGTCAGTTTAAATCAAGATGCGTTTCAATGCCTTTTAAACTGCCAGTCGTGAATCTGGACTCGATTGTTCAACAACATGAGCAGAAAGTGAAACGTCATGGTAGTTTATTATCTGGCAGTATTCGTGCGATATTTTGTGGTCCATCAAATTGTGGAAAGTCAAATGCTCTTTCATCTTTAATATTAGATCCAAATGGTCTTAGATTTGATAATATTTATCTTTACTCAAAATCGCTGCATCAACCAAAGTATAAATTCTTGGAGCAAGTTGTTAGTGAAGTTGATGAAGTTAAATATTTACCATTTAGTGAACATGAAGAAGTAAATATCTCCTCAAAATGCAAAACCAAACTCTATTTTTATATTTGACGATGTTGCTTGTGAAAAGCAAGATAATATAAGGGCTTTCTTTTGTATGGGTAGACATGTAAGCGTTGACAGTTTTTATCTATGTCAGACTTATGCAAGAATTCCTAAACATTTAGTGCGAGATAATGTTAATTTGTTGGTGCTTTTTCGATAAGACGAAAAGAATTTAAAACATGTATACGATGATCATGTAAATAAGGACATGACATTTTCTCAATTTCAAGAGTTATGTTCAACTTGTTGGAATTCTGACAGGTATGGATTTGTTGTTATCGACAAGGATAGTAATTTTAATGAGGGGAGGTATAGAAAAGGCTTTGATTGTTTTGTTTCACTATAAATAAAGCCTATGGTTAAAATTGTTTTAGTTTAAGTTAAGACTTTGATATATCAAGATGTGTAACAAAGAAAAAGAATATTTGCATCAAATTTCTAAAGCCAGTGAAGCAATCAGACGTAAACATCGTATGTTTAAATTAGGAAAAGAAAATGTTGAAAATATGTTAAATGAAACCTTCAAACCTATAGTTGAACCTTTACAGAAAATCATCATTATAAATGATTTTAAACATGAAAATATTAAAACAGAAAAGAAAGAAAAGGTTGAATTTAAAGAGGAGTAAGATGATGATAGCATGTCTTTTATGAGTGCTGATGATAGTCAATCATCATCATCATCATTAATTCCAGGCTTTGAATATGATAGAGTTCTTAGTAAATATATTTACTTAGTCATTCACAACAGAAAACAATGTTTAGATCTAGTATACGGAGTTCGTAAGGTGAGAGACGGATCACTTGTGATTGGTGATTCACCAATAAGTTTTAAAGATCACATTGTGAATGTTGGAAATGAAAATTTCAATTTTACCTTTGGATTATTGGAACTTTTATTTAAAAGTAAACCTGAAAACTCATACATTAGTGAAGATGATATGAATAATTATAAACAAATTCTCTTTACCTCAAATGCACACAGAAAAAAATACAGTTCCTCTGAACCTGGTCAAACAAGTAGAGGTTATAAATTCACCAATATTATATCAAAAATTTTTCCTCACAATGAAACTCCAAAAAGGCAATCAAAAACTGGCAGTTCACTTCCAAAATTTATGATTACGAAAGGAAATTTTTAACCAGACTACGTCTATTGGAATGATCCTAATGAGTTGGTTGACTGTTTAAGACTACTTACTGCTTCTCAAACAGCTGGTAATCCAAGTCATAATAATGAAATTATGTCCGTTATTGAAGAGTTACGTGAAGCTCAAATTATATATTAAGAAGTGTTGAGTTGACTATACATCAGTTTCAAAATGAGTATTGATGTATTCGGACATCCTCTCTATCAAGGGACAAGTGTTATACCGAAACGAGGACCACCTGGAGTTGGTTTTAGAGTCAATTCTCAAGGTAACTACGACCTTGAAGGCAGAAGAATTTGTAACGTTGGAAGAGCTGAAGAAGAAGACGACGCAGTTACTTTATTACTTGCTCGACGGATGATAGAAAACGAAGTGCGACTAGTATATCAAATCACATCTTCACTACGATTAGATATTGACAACAGTAACATATTGTTGAAAATTCCCGAAGACTCTGTAACAGAAAAATTAAAAAATCTTGAACGACAAATAAATCGAGATTTAGCATATCGAAACGCTGAAATTATTGGTGAACTGGATTCTCGTTTGAGAGTAATTGAAAATGAAAGACAAAAAATTGACAGTGGTGAATGAGCTTCACACACAAGCTCGAAAAAATTATCCTCGACGTCGAGTTGAAATGCGTGACATTGATGATACTTGGCAAGCAGATTTGATAGAAATGATACCATACTCTAAAGTTAATAAAGGATACAAGTA